AGCATCATGAACTGATAACTCTCAGACTGTATCCTCTCCTCAGCATCGACATCCTGAAGTACGTGATTTACGGCCTGGCAGCTGGCTTCTTCGTGTTCGGAGTGCTGCTGCTGGTGGAGGGCTTCTTCACCACCGGGGCCATCAGAGATCTCTACGGAGAGTTCAAGATCACCGCCTGCGGACGCTGCCTCACCGCATTTGTAAGGAAACGACCCCACAAACAAACAAACAAACTGTCTTTAGTTTGAGGTTTCAAAGGTTGGACACGTTAGAATGAACTAATGAAATACCACAAATCTTCAGTTTTATGACTTTAAACATTTCAGAGAATTAAAACTGAAATTTTCTCCACCAGGGGTTCGTTATCTACAGCTGATTTTAATTGTAAGCATGAAACATTTTAATTATTATATTTCATGTTTTTATGAGTAAAACAAAAAGTCTGTTTCATCTGAGCCAATCTCAGTTTCTTTTATAGAATCAGGTCGGCCCGCTTCAGTTAGCTGGAACATTAATAAAATAAACTGAGCCATCTCACATAAATAAAGTGCATCTCACACCGAGCCTGGACGTTTCTGTTCGTCACATTTTATCCAGATGAGGTCATTTCTGATAAAACAGCAGGTTGCTTCAGTTTGTTACACGGTTCTGAGAGCATCGCCACACTTGATGTCAGAAAGCCTCAAACTTCAGTAAAACTGCATCTTAAAGACTCCAGGGAACTTCACCTCCAGGTTTAGCTGTTTTTGGGGGCTGAACCTCGCTTCCAAGTTTAGCTGTTTTTGAAGATGAACCTCGTCTCCAGGTTCAGCTGTTTTGGAGCTGAATCTCATCTCTAGGTTTAGCAGTTTTGGAGATGAACCTCATCTCCAGGTTTTGCGGTTTTGCGGGGCTGAACCTCGCCTCTAGGTTTAGCTACTTTGGGGATGAACCTCGCCTCTAGGTTTAGCTGTTTTGAGGATGAACCTTGCCTCTAGGTTTAGCTGTTTTGGGGCTGAACCTCGTCTCCTGGTTAAGCTATTTTTGGGGCTGAACCTCATCTCCAGGTTTAGCTGTTTTGGGGCTGAACCTCGTCTCCAGGTTTAGCTGTTTTGCAGAGCTGAACCTCATCTCCAGGTTTAGCTGTTTTGGAGGATGAACCTCATCTCCAGGTTTAGTTGTTTTGGGGCTGAACCTCGTCTCCTGGTTAAGCTATTTTTGGGGCTGAACCTCATCTCCAGGTTTAGCTGTTTTGGGGCTGAACCTCGTCTCCAGGTTTAGCTGTTTTGCAGAGCTGAACCTCGCCTCTAGGTTTAGCTGTTTTGGAGGATGAACCTCATCTCCAGGTTTAGTTGTTTTGGGGCTGAACCTCATCTCCAGGTTTAGCTGTTTTGCAGAGCTGAACGTCGCCTCTAGGTTTAGCTGTTTTGGAGGATGAACCTCATCTCCTGGTTAAGCTGTTATAGGGGCTGAACTTCATCTCCAGGTTTAGCTTTTTTGGAGGCTAAACCTTGCCTCTAGGTTTAACTGTTTTGGAGATGAACCTCATCTCCAGGTTTAGCTGTTTTGGGGCTGAACTTTGTCTCCAGGTTTAGCTGTTTTGGAGGATGAACTTCACCTCCAGATTTAGCTGTTTTTGGGGCTGAACCTTGTCTCCAGGTTTAGCTG